CCAATCTTCTCATTTTAAGGCAGGGGATCTGAGGCACAGAGAGCTGAAAAAACTTGCCCATGCTCAAGACTGATGGAAAAGCCCAGGAATAAGTACGATTAGGAGACAGAGTTATGATGCAAGTCCAGCTTTGCTATTATATTAATCACGTATGATTAACAGCCAGCAAGACTTTGCTCACATACTTTAAAAATAATAAGTTGATTCTTAATCACCTAAGGATGGCTCAGCATGGGTTCTTTGATAAACAAGACTGAACTGCAGAATACCAAATAGTTCTATTGGTCATTTCAGTGAAAATGAGCTTTCTGTCCCATTTCATAATTCTCTTTGACTATGTTTTGCTTTTTTGGTCTTCCCTCCTCCCTCTATTGGCCACACTTGCATGCCATTTCAAAACAAACTGTAATGCAGGGGCTGGGGGCCAAGGTGCCCGATCCATAAACAGGTAGAAAGAATGAGATGGACAGGCCACCAAAGCGCAATCAAAGTTTATGGAATGAGGAGATTTATAAAGGAAAAAAAATCGTGGAAATAGCAAACATCTGTTTGAAGAAGGTTTTCAGGTCTTTGCCTTCTGGAAAAATGTATCTTGGAAAACTTGACATTTTGCTTCTTTATTAAATAAAGTGGCAAATGGGCCAGGTGGGGTGGCTCAAGCCTATAATCCCAACACTCTGGGAAGCCGAGGTGGGTGGATCACTTGAGGTCAGGAGTTCAAGACCAGCATGACCAACATTGTGAAACCCCATCTCTACTGAAAATACAAAATTAGCTGGGCATGGTGGCACATGCCTGGAATCCCAGCTATTTGGGAGGTTAAGGCAGGAGAATCACTCGAACCTGAGAGGCAGAGGTTGCAATGAGCCAAGACTGTGCCACTGCACTCCAGCCTGGGCAGCAAGAACAAAACTCAAATCTCAAAAAGTAAAAATAAAATAAAGTGGCAAATGGACAGGAGTCAGTCATGGAACAGTTAGGTGTCAGGCCCTCCGAGTTTCATTTAGGTCTCTTTCCTTTTGGGGAAGTGCTGAGGAATAAAAATGACAATATAGTTCCCTCAAGTAAAACGTTCAAAGGTATCTTTTTTTTTTCCGACAGTCTTGCTCTATCCTCCAGACTAGACTGCAGAGGCACAATAGCAGCACACTGCAGCCCCAAACTCCTGGGCTCAAGTGATCCTCCCACCCAGCTTCTTGAGTAGATGGGACTACAGGTGAGCACTACCACACCCAGATAATTGTTAATTTTTTGTAGAAATGGGGATCTCACTGTATTGCCTAAGCTGACCTTATGCTCCTGGCCTCAAATGATCCTCCTGCCTCAGCCTCCCAAAGCACTGGGATTACAGTGTCACTGTGCCCAACCCAGAGGCACACTTCTTTAAGTTTATATAGATAACAAAGAAAACATCAGAGGGAAAACCCAACGCCAGGACCATGCTCCCCAAAGTCTGCCCTGGTCAGGTCCCCACAAGGACTCTCTGAAGCAAGAGTGGGCCACAGCCAGCCGGGAGCTCCCCAGCGGGAAGGCCCACAGGTGGGAATGAGCCTCTTTGAGCTCCAATGACTCCGGGACAGGATGGGGGTGGGGGGGAGTGGGGGGGACGGGGTGGGGGTTAGCTTAACACATCATTAGCAAAGATGATGCCTTAGGGAACTAAAGGAACCTTCCTTCCCAGGAGATGAGAGATCTGTCTTTTCAAGCCCCAGAAGCCCCTAGGACTTGATGGAATTTCTAAGAGTTTCTGGCATCTCCAAAATGAACATTCCATGCTTCTGCTGTCGTGAAAAGCCCTTGATCCATCTGGGCTGACCACCTCTCCAACTAGTGGCCCCACCTCCCAGGCGGCCCACCTCCCAGGCCACCCCCCGCCCCCCCACAGCCACAGCCTCTTTCTCCACAAGAGAACCGGAAAGGCGAGGACCACGCCAGCACGCTATATCAGAAGGTACAGTCCTCTTCCCTTGATTGCCTTTTTTTTTTTTTTTGGGGGGGGGAAGTAAAGCAAAATATATATGAGGTTTTTTGTCCCACACACTGAACTTCCATTTCCTTTTCCCTCCAGAAACGGCTCAATGTGACACAACAAAAGTGCTTTGGTCATCTGCACTCCATGGGCACAGGCTAAAGGCATTCTGCTGAGAGTCTTCATTTTGCTTTTAGAACATAGGTGCTCTTCGTCTAGTGGAATGTTGGCATCGGTAATTAACACTGAACTGCACCTGCTAAAAATCAAGCAGCATTTTCTCATTAGGCCCTCTTAGTCTCTCAGCATATTCGTAATCACTAATTCAGATTTGCAAAAAGCTCCTTCCCCGTAATAATGATGTCAGTTCCATTTATTTTGAGCCCAGGGGTCTCTGGAGGCTCACCAATTCCTCTTTGTACTTATTTACAAGGCTGTCTTAATTGATGAAATTAGTTAACCACCAAGATTTTGACCACCAGTCTCACATTCAGATTGCATTTAAATAAATCATTGGAACTGCATCAATTATGTGAGTTTCAGAAAGCATTTGGTGGTTAAAACAATCCCAGGGGCCATGGTTTTAGTGGTTTAACTCTTCTAACCAGCATCCCCTCATGAAATCTGTAACTACTTTTTTTTCAAAAAGATTTCTTTTAAAAGAGCCAGCCTTTCAATCTCATCATATCTGGTCTAAGGACAGAACTAACAGAAGGACAAATTACCCCCTGCCTCCTGCTTCTACCAACAAGTGGGAGTTGTGGAAAACAACTGAAGTATTTCTACTTTCAAGCTTCAACAGTACGCACCTGCTAGCAGCTCTGCCTCATAACTGTTTCACGTGTTAACTGCCCACCATGCTGTCTTAGAAACTTACTCGTAAGCTGTCCCCATTTTCCTCTAAATTTTGGCCTCTAGATGTTAATTTTTAAGTGTTAAAACAAAAAGGCAAAAACTTTTGCAGAAGCAAATAATCCTTTAAAGATGAATAACTATGGGATTTCAGAAAAGGGCTTGGGGTGTTTTTAGGTGGAAAGGAGGCTCATTTACCCACAGCAATGATGGAGGTAAAGTGATGCTGGTGTGTTAAACGCACAGACACAGTCCTGGACATCCCACTGCTGCTACTGAGAAATCCTCCCCACCTGGCTCTAGAGGGCCTGAGGTCTGAGCTAAAGAGTGTCTCTATTCCTCCCACAGTGCAGTTTTCCCAGGTGGCTCCCAGGGATCCCCGTGTCTCCTGGCATTCATGTCCTTAGGCAACCTCCTCCCTAGTGACTTGCTTAATAATGGAAAAAAGCAAAAAGGGCGACGGACACTTCAACACTAGGTTACAAAAGGCTGTGACTTCAGTGATCCTGCACCCTCCCCCCGACCTCTCTCTCTCTCTCCCTCCCTCCCTCCTTGCTTGCTCAACCTGCTGACAGTAGCTGCTCTATGAAGAGGCCCATGTGGCATGGAACAGATGGGATGGCCCCAACCAATAGCCAGTGAGGAACTGAGGCCCTCTGCAAGGAAGTGAATCCTGAGAGCAACCATATAGCAGTTGCTTCCCCAATTAAGCCTTCCGATGAGACCTCAGCCTTAACCCTTCCTTGCTTACTGTCCTGTGAGACAGCTAGAGACAGAAGACCCAGCTAAGCCACACCTTCATTCCTGATCCAGGAAACAGTGAGGTAATAAATGTTGCTGAAAGCTACCACACCTTGGGGCAATTTGTTATGCAGCAACAGGTAACTAATATGTCCACTTATGTTCCAAATGCAACAGAGAATTTCATCATAAGGTTTCCTTCGGTCCTCTTCATATGATCAACTATTAGTTCTCCCCTTCCATACTAAATAATTTGGAAATTCCATCTCTCTCCTTCTGAGACAATTTTCCCTCCAACTCAGACCTGAATCCTTTCTGACCTGCTTTCTCCTTATTCTTCCAAACAGCCAATGTCACCTTTCCATACATATCCATGGGGTGCTGCATGCTCCTGCGACTTCAACCAAACCTGTGTCCCCTCCTGTTGCCAGAGTTCTCATCTGCCTCCCCAGTTGGACTGGACTAGGAGCCCCTCAAAGTTGGGGCCACGCCTTACCCTCTCATGTCCCCAGAGCCTAGGAGGGTGACTGGCATATAGGGGGCTCAATCAATGTCTGCTAAATGGATGAACAAAGGCTAGAAGGAGCATGTGCAGGCATCTGCAGGGAGACATGTCAATGTCAAACTCTCTAGGGAGTGATGAGACTAAATTTCACAGTGTTGTGTGAGGAGCCCTTCAGAATCCTTCAAGGAGGACAGCAGATTGCCTCTGTCATCTCCACGCACTCTCTCTCAGTGCATCATATTTCATTCTCCAGTCTCTAACCCAAGTCCCCTTGCTCTTCATGCAATCCCGCTCTGACAGGGCAACTATGCCTTCTCAAATTCCACACCCATTTTAGTTTTATACACTATAAAGCATATAGAAAACAGACTCTCAACCTTCCGCCCTTCTGTTATTAAACTCTCCTCATATGAAGAACAACAAAAATGGGGATTGTACTTTAAAATTACATGCAAGTCCAGAATAATATTTTTTTTAATATCAAACCCTGACATGGGCAATTATGGCAATTACTGATCCTTGTTAAAGTATTCCTTCTAATTCCTACTAACTTTTGAGCATTTTAAAAAATAAACAAAAACATAGGGCCGGGCACAATGGCTCACGCCCGTAATCCCAGGACTTTGGGAGGCCAAGGAGGGCGGATCATGAGATGAGGAGGTCAACACCATCCTGGCTAGCACGGTGAAACCCCCTCTCTACTAAAAATACAAAAAATTAGCCGGGCGTGTTGGCACGTTCCTGTAGTCCCAGTTACTCGGGAGGCTGAGGCAGAAGAATCGCTTGAACCCAGGAGGCGGAGGTTGCAGTGAGCCGAGGTCGTGCCACTGCACTCCAGCCTGAGTGACAGAGCAAGACTCCATCTCAAAAACAATAATAATAATAAACAAACAAAAATGTAAGAAATATAATGTTTCCAAAGTTTAATTCTACCTTGTAGCCTCCAATGCGATGCTCCTGCTTAAACTCCTTCCCGTTCTTCAGCCACCGCATGGTTGGTGTTGGGTTCCCCCCCGCTGGGCAGCGAAACTTGACAGTGTTGGCCGCAGGCACAGCATGGAGCCGCTTTTCCATCTTTTCTGTGTTGGTCCAGTATGGTGCTCCTGTTTTGGAAAACAATATTAGAATGTATACCGGCGGATAGCTTCCCCTCTGTGAGTACACTCCAAACAGGTAAGATCATTTTGCTTTGCAGGTAAATGATAGGCTATTTTAAAAATCTGTGGGTAATATTTACATTTGGAAAGTATTTTCAGGAGTCTAATCCAGCTGGCTGAGTAGAAGGTCCCAGAGAGGGACTGTTCATGTCTATTAACAGGGGAGGAAAAAAGTGTCTGAGGCCCTTTCTCTCTCTTGTTCTTGGTGCCAAATCACATTTTTAAATGCTACTTTATATACAAATGAACAACATATACAACCATAACAGCTGAGTCCTCCAAAAATATATCATTTTGGATTGCCACACCTATTAAATGATCACATATACACACTAGTAAAAACAAGTTGCTCTCAAAAGCCTTATCAACTTATCCATTGGAGCCTTACTTTAAAGGAACAGTACAAATTATCATTCTAATAAAATAACCCAGAGCAGGATTCATACATTTCTCAGAACTTATATGACAAACCAAAAAAACTGTCAGAGGCTTTGTCTCTGATGCATATTTAGAAGTCTCCTCTGTTCTGTGGGTGATAGAGCACAACCCCAGGGGATAACAATCCCCTTCACTTAGCAGCCAGACTCTTGGGGTACAATTCGGAATTGAAATCAGTGCATCCAAACACCTACCCCAACTGGCCTTCACACTTGCTCTTGAAACCCGTTGTCAAGGGTAGGGCTGAGATGTCTTTACAAGGGCAGGCTGTATCTTTATCCCCGACTTATCTAAGTGTCAAAGTGGAGGATTTAGGTGACATCTATATGATGCTAAAACAGTGGGAAGGGGGCAAAACTATGAAGTCTGGAGGAAGGAAGAGGAGGGAGGAGAAAGAAGGAACAGAGGCTAAATTCTTTCCTTTGAATCCAGTTGCATTTGCAACTGGGTAGCCATTTGGCTTTGGGTGTTGAATGCCCACAAACGCACCTATTCTCTTGAAGGTTCACCAGGGAGTACTTGATTCCTATTCATCACAAGACTCTCAGGGCCTGGCGTATACTGAAACAATTTCAATAATCTTTCATTTTAAAAGCTTCTACTTAGAAAAATCCAACCACAGCCACAGCCACTAAAAAGAACCCATTGAGAGCACAAAACAAATAGTGAGCTTTGTCGCTACACAAAGACGTTTACAAATCTGACCTAAATGAAAAGCATACCTCATGCTGTCAGGTGTCTGCACTCATGTCATTTGTTTAAGTAAACACAATAGCCTATTCATATGAATTAGCTAAATATTAATGCAGTAACTCTTTCAGATAGCATCAATTACTGCTGAGCTGATCCTGTGGAATGTCCTTTCTTTTTTACATAAAAGAAATCGACAGATACGTGCATGATTTTTATGTTCCCTTAAAAAAAAAAAAAAGTGGGATTTAGCTGAAGGAACTAGGAATGTTGTTCTTTTCTGCTCTCACTGGGCCAAGCCATGGTGGAGACTGTAACAGCACAGGAACCGCCCCAGACCATCGCACACCCATGCAGCCCTGACCTGCAGCAACAGCACACGGGCAACCCGCACCTTTGTCCTGGTGCCTCAGGAATGATTTAAGGACTAAGGTGAAATAATTTCACTGGAATTTCTGGCAGGTAGCCACTTCCCTGGGGTGAAATTTCAATCACCAAAGCTACACCTATAAAATCTGCTTCTGCAAAACAGAGACACAGCCATCCAGCAGGGCACGGGCACACTGCTGCTCATCCGAGTCTCGGAGAGCCAAGGTGGGGTGTTCCATGAAATCTAGGCACAACCCTCCACCCAGACTCCCACGTGTGTGACCAGCCCCACTCTGGTGAGAGCTAGCATCAACCAGCACACAGCCGCTCTTTAAATGTCAAGCTCACAAATATGTTTAATGAACTTGATACTGGAAGGGAGGAACTCTTTTATACTTTCACAATAACTCTTCCTGAAATACATTAGCTTTACATGAACTTGAAGAATCTGTAAGATCTAGAAAAATAATAATACTGTAAGAATAGCCCTACTGTGTCTTCTTGCTCAGCAGCCTCGTGTCCCCCGTATGTTTTTGCAGTCAGAAAGGCCACACATGGAAATGCCAGGGCCTCCCAAAAACTGCAAAGCAGCTGGAGAGAAACACCGTCCAGGCACCTAGGACCAGTGCTTCTACCTAAGGAAGCTCCTTTCATACCAAGGCTTGCAAACAGCTTTAACAACTGTCATTTGGAGAAGGAACTCATGTACCAAATTAATGATCTACCAAAGCAGAGATCAGCCTTGTCCATAGTAGATGCTCAACAGGGATGTTTACTCAACAATCTTATTTAAAATGAATCTGCAGGCCAGGCACAGTGGTTCATGCCTATAATCCCAGCACTTTGGGAGACCAAGGCCTGTGGATCACCTGAGATCAGGAGTTTGAGACCAGCCTAACCACCATGGTGAAACCCCGTCTCTACTAACATACAAAAATTAGCCGGGCATGGTGGCACATGCCTGTAATCCAAGCTACTTGGGAGGCTGATGCAGGAGAATCGCTTGAACCCAGGAGGCAGAGGTTGCAGTGAGCCGAGATCGTGCCATTGCACTCCAGCCTGGGCAACAAGAGCAAAACTCCATCTCAATCAATCAATCAATCAATCAATCAAATGAATCTGCAAGCCAAGGACACATAAGTTTCCCTGAACTTTATATACCTTAGAGGTATATGAAGAATGGGCTTAAAGTCAACTAATAGAGACCTGTGGTATAAGCTTCCAATGGCATTCGAAATGAATGACACTAAACCACCTGTAAAGGAAACAATTTAACCTCAATGATAGGTATGGTTCCTTTGGCTCTGACATTCTCAGACCTTCTGATGTAATAGGTACCATGAGAATGACGTTCTCCTGGTCATTAAATACTAAGAATGAGCTGATTAAAGGAACAGTAAGACCCAGCCACAATCAATCAATCAATAAAATCCCATCACCAGCGTGTAGCATACCTACTAATTATTTTCTACACTGTAATAGTTATTGCATATTAATAATAATATTAAGTAAGAATTTTACTTGAAGACAACAGAAGTCTTTTAAGATGCGATGGGTTAAAGAGAGATTTATAAAAGCACAGAAACTTCCCTCAAAGGACTTCAACACAGCCTTTATCATTCCCATCCCACAGGGAAGTTATCACTCTTTCTCTGGGCCCCTTCTTTGTGACAGATAACGTGCTTCCAACATCAGTATGTTTCTGTACTGAAAAATATTCCAACAAGAGTAGGGCACCCAGAGGGGAGACCTGGAGTTGTCTTCAGCCTCTGGGGTAGGCACTCAAGCGTTTATTGGATGGATGGATGGATGGATGGATGGATGGATGGATGGATAGGTGGATGGGTGGATGGATGGATGGATGGATGGATGGGTAGGTGGATGGATGGATGGATGGATGGATGGATGGATGGATGACTATTAAAAGCTTTAGCTATAAAATGAAGCAGTTGCACTGATAAGGTCCCTTTCAGTTCGAACATACTTTCCAGGTATCTATGTGCTAGGCAGGTATTGATTCTGTCAACAAATGGTAGGATTATATGATTTCTTTTGACCCTGCAATTTAAACTTAATGAGAAACCATAGGCTGCTGGGCCTGCCCCCCTCCACAACCCTTACATATCTCACTGCTGACATCTAAGGTTTATAATCTACTCTGTCTCTCTTTCTGGAACCAAAAAGAGAGAACATAGCCTAATGCTTTAAAGGAGAAACATGGAATCATATTACCAGGCTGTACCAAAAGAGACCTCGGTGACCATCTGGCCCAATGACTGATGTGATCAATGTCATCCAGAAAGGTTAAGTGATTTGATCAAGGTCACACAGCCAGAGGCCACGCTGAGGCCAGGCACATCTCCAGCTCCCTAAGCAGTGTTCCTTCAACCACTCCAGCCTGCCCTTTGAACTCTCCCATGGTAATTAAGTCAAAAGTTCAAGATTTATGTGAGCAGCGGACATTGATGACTGCCAACTGTATTTTTATTGATGCAAAAAATTTTAAAAACACAGCCTGTTTCAGCTCCTAGATTAAGTCTCTCAAACTCCCTAAAGCCCCACTAAAGCCTCTGTCTCAAGTCTATAATTAGGGCTTTTAAAAATATCACTAATCAGGACATTTGAATGCTTTGGCCCCTGACAGGGGAAAAATGTCTCAGAGCTCCCCACTATCCTGCAGTTCTTTCTCAGTTTGATATAAACTAAGAGAAAACAAATCTGACAAAACATGGAGATGTGAGTGAGGGTATGATGATGAGGGGGTATGTCTGTGGCTTTATTTGAGAAATCTCATTAAAAACTTGCTAACCAGCCAGGCATTCAATCAGAAATACATGTTTTTAAAACCAAGCAAGTTAACCACATGTGAAAGGACTGAGCCCACTAGCAGACCATTAGCCCACGGAAATTCCCAAGATCTGCCTTCAGAAGAGACTTTTCCAATCATCAGCTGTGCCGTTTGACCAAGGAGGAGACTGAGAAAGAAAAGATATTCGGTCCAACCATTAGATGCAACATCATCTCTAGTCTTCGGGATAAAAATACCAACACCTGCTTTTTCTTTTTCTTAAGAGATAGGGTTTTGCTCTGTTGCCCAGGCTCCACTGCAGTGGTACGATCACAGCTCACTGCAGCCTTGACCTCCTGGGCTCAAGTGATCCTCCCACCTCAGCCTCCCGAGTAACTGGGACTACAGGCATGAATGAGCCACCACACCTGGCTCATTTTTTATTTTTTGTGGAGATGGGGTCTTGCTATGTTACCTAGGCTAGTCTCAAACTCCGGCGTACACACGATCCTCCTGCTTCAGCCTCCCAAGTAGCTGGGATTACAGGCAAGAGCCACTGTGCTGGCCCAAACCAACTTATTGAATGATACTTTCATTACAAAGGAAATTTCCAAAAATTTGCGAAGCCTGTGTGGGTTTTTTTTTGTTGATATTGTTCTTT